TCAGCGCCCTCCCGCGGTTCCAGCGCCCGCCCAGTGCCCCCTCCGACACGACCACTTTATTTCGGCACCGCACCCCCCCCCGCTCCGCCCCCTCCCCCGCGCCGCCTCAGCGCCCTCCCGCGGCCCCAGCGCCCGCCCAGTGCCCCCTCCGCCCCGACCACTTTATTTCGGCACCGCACCCCCCCCCCGCTCCGCCCCCTCCCCCGCGCCGTCTCAGCGCCCCCCCGCGGCTCCAGCGCCCGCCCAGCGCCCCCTCCGCCTCGACCACTTTATTTCGGCACCGCACCCCCCCCGCTCCGCCCCCTCCCCCGCGCCGTCTCAGCGCCCCCCCGCGGCTCCAGCGCCCGCCCAGTGCCCCCTCCGCCCCGACCACTTTATTTCGGCACCGCACCCCCCCTCCCCGCTCCGCCCCCTCCCCCGCGCCGTCTCAGCGCCCCCGCGCGGCTCCAGCGCCCGCCCAGTGCCCCCTCCGCCCCGACCACTTTATTTCGGCACCGCGCCCCCCCTCCGCTCCGCCCCCTCCCCCGCGCCGTCTCAGCGCCCCCGGCGCCGCCGCCGACGCCGTCGCCGCCGTCGCCGGCCCTCTCACCACCCCCGCTCAGCCCTGCCCCTTTCGCCCTCCCTACCCGCCCCCTCTCTCTTCCCGCGACGCCGCCGATGCCGTCGCCGCCGTCGCCACCGACGCCGCCGCCGTCGTCGCCGTCGTCGTCGCCGCCGCCGCCCCGGGCCGAAAGTCTGGTCTGTGGGGGAGGCCCCCATTCAAGTGGCGCATAGCCGGCCCCCGAGAATACACCCGACAGACTCTGCGTGCAAAGCGACTGCCTTGGACAAGCGTTCGCAACACAAGGCCGCCGCGCACTTTGCACCGCGAGCCCCCAGCAGCTGAGTCCGCTCAGTAATTTCTTCCAGCCCTCCTTGGACCCTGGAGGCCTCCCCTTGGAACCCTCTGTAGGCTTCTCGGGCGTCAGTTGGAGGCTTCCTGGGAACCCGTCAAAGGTCTTTGAAGCCATCTTGCGGGGGACGGCCCTTGGAGTCTCCTCGCGCTCGCCCTCTGGAGCCCCTCTTGCGGCCCTGTTTTGTTCACTCCTTCTGCGATGTCTGGCATCCTTTCCCTCCCCCCCCTCCTCCTCCACATCCTCCTCCTCCCCCTTCCTTTTTGTGCAAGAGCCATGGCACACGTGCCACTTGTTATTATTATTATTATGATGATGATGATGCTGATGATGATGATGATGCTGATGGCGGAGACGATGATGATGTCGACGACGACGACGACGATGCTGATGATGGTTGTGGTGATAATGATGCTGGTTGTAATGATGATGACGCTGATGGTGCTGCTGATGCTGCTGATGCTGCTGATGGTGGTCATGATCAGGACGATGATAATAAGAATGATGACAATGACGATGAGGTGGAGGACTCGCCAAAGGCGGGTGTCCAGGATGATGACGCGCCAAATAGGAGGGAGGGGGAGGAGGAGGAGAAGGAGAAGAAGGAGAAAAAAGAGGAGACACGGAGCAAGAGAAGCAGAAGGAGGAGGAGGAGGAGGAGGAGGAGGAGGAGGAGGAGGCGGGGGAGAGGAGCCTTAATAGGAGGAAAACTCAGCATGGATCTGCACTGCGGCGAGTCGAGAGCCAGCGGACCAGCTCGAGCTCGAGCGAGGGCGCACTGCCTACTCCAGGCCGTCTCTGGACGATGGGGGCAACACGACTGGGACATCGGGCCTCCTCACGCACGGGCTGACTCCAGAACCGTCTAGTAAAAGGACCGATGTGGGAGCTGATGGCGTGTAACGGGAAAAGAAAAACGGCATACGCATAGACTGTCGGAGCTTCGCGCAGAATTCTTGGATCGGCGCTGGGCCCGCCTCCCTGACGCGCGGAGCGCGCCAGGGGCGGCTCCGCGCGGAGCTCCGAAAGTTGCTGTGTATGCCGGTGCTTATTATTTTCTGCTGGTCTTATTACTATATTATTCGTATGATTGTTCATATCCTTCTGCTTCTTCTTCGAGTGTAAGGTGGGGGGCGATGGGGGACGGCGGGAAGACGCTGCCGTCTCCATCGGCAGAAGACATCAATGTCCCACTCCCTCGAGAACGAGGCCCAGTCTGGTGCGCGCCGCACCTTGGCCGTGGTGCCGAGGAGACGCTGGCCTGGGAGGACATGGAGCGACGGGATGGGCCGCTCCTCGCCATCGATCGGACCAGCGCACCGAGCCCATAGAGCGGCTACAGTCGGGGCTGATTGGAGAGGACACGCGAGAGGACACACGACCCTTCCGGGGGACACGTTGCCATAGGAACGGAGCAGACATGGGTCGCGAGACACAGGACACAAGGGTGCCCTTGATTCGGCAAGGCCGACCTACTAATTAGCTTGGACTGTACGCCGTTCCGCGGGCCGCCGTCATCCGTGGCCGCGCCGTGTGCCCTCGACGCACCCGAGAGGACAAAGCCGACACCACGGCAAACCCACGGCAAACCCGCGGCAAACCCTGCGCCTCCCGCCCCAAACAGACGCAGCCATCGCCGTGTGTGTGTGTGTGTTGTGTGTATGTGCACGTTTTTCACAACACGGCAGAGCGCGTCGCAAGGCGCGATGGCCCGTTTCACATCACACGCGGGCACGTTCTGACCATTACCGCCTCCAGGACTGGTGCTCCGTGTCCACTGATCAGTACGCGACAGGTCTTGGAAGTTGTTCGGGTACATGTGGTGCGGCCCACGAGAGAAACCTGACATAAGCAAGAACCCCGACCTTGAAACACGTGCGTGCGTGCATGAAACGGGGAATGATGATGCAGATGGGAATCACGGGAAGAGCCACACAGCAAGAGTGGAAGAGGACATAGGAACAAAGAAGAGGAGACGAGGGAAGTGCCAGGGCGGTCGCTATTGTGCCAGTTCTGCCTTGCAGTTCTGGAAAGACTCGTGGGAGTCTCCCGGGTCGTCTTGGACTCTTCCTAGGGGCTGCCCTGCTGTGAATTATGTTTCAGGATTCCCGTGCACACAGCTGTGAGCCCTGCGGGCGCGCTGGGCCCCGCGCGCGCACCCCCTCGGAGCTCGCCCACGAGCTGATTACCTTCCACAAGAGACCCAACCCTGAGACCCCAGGGCGTCCACCGATTCTTGGTGTGTGAACGTCTTGCTCTCCATCGCAAAGCCATCGAAGCCCAAGAAACCCAGGGGCCACCCTGGAGGCAAGCAGGGTGCTTCTTGGCATGAACCCCCACTGCTCAGCCCTCGCGTCACCGAAAGGAACACTGACAAAATAGGGAGCGAGAGGGGGCTGTCCTGGACACAGCGAGCCTCGGCCACGAACAGGTCCCCCGACTAAAATATCCAAGGGCTTCGGCCCTGAGACCACAGCCCCTGCTGAGCCCGAGGTGGTCTTTGTTCCCGCGTCATGGCTAGAGTAGGAGGGCAAAACATCCGTCCCCATAATAATCACCCCGACGCGCGAAGCCGTTCAGTAAACGCACCAAAGAAGGAATCGAACATGGCAGGGCTGTCAAGTGAACGCCCAGGGCGGTTGAGTAAACGCCAATTGTCAGGTCGGATTGGTTTCTCCTCCCTTGGCAAATTGTATCCGAGTAGATGGGGTCTGAGGATCGCGCCGCATCGCGGTTGCATCGCCGATGTATCGCCGACGTCGGCGTGGAGAAAATCGGGCTCTCGGACCTCAGTTGGAGGCCTCGATGAAGACAGCATCGACAAGCCACTGGCTGAGAGGGACCATCGCCGATACATCGGCGATGCGGCGCGGCCCTCCGACGGTCCGCCGACCCCATCTACTCGGACCCCAGTTGGGAGACCTAGATGGAGGCAACACCGACAGGCCGAGGGGAAGGCGCACCGCAAGAACGGAGGGGGGCGTCTTTTCTTCTTGTGGCCTCGCCGCGGCCATTGACAGAGCCATCCGGCCAATTCTGGCGCCCTGCCGCAGGGGTGACGTCTGCACCGCCGCGGCGGGCGTGGAGGTTGTGGCAAGTGTTGAAAGAAATCCATTCCGGTCAACGCGGCCCGCCACCGGCCAGGTCCCGCCTCCCTCCTATCCGCCCCCGTTGCCCACAACTCTAGCCCCCCCTCGTTCCCAGAGGAAGAAGCAGTGCATACGCATAAACTTTCAGAGCTCCGCAAAGATTTCTTGGATCAGCGCAGGGTCTCCCTCCCTGGCGCGCGGAGCGCGCCAAGGGGGTCCAGCGCCGATCAGAGAAATCCGCGCGGACCTGCGAAAGCTCATGTGAATGCCGCTCTTGCTCACCTCAAGCACACCCAAAAGGTGGTCCAGCTGAAAGGGGTTGGTGCAATAGATTTTGGGCGATTGTATTGCAAATGTACTACGCCGGAGAATTCGATTGCAGTGTGTGGCAAGTAATGCGTTGCACGCGAGAGTCCAGCAATACACTTGCGCCCCGGCATGTACTGCACGCCCCGAATGTACTGCAACCCCGCCAATCTACTGCACCAGATCTATCGCACCACCCCCTTGTCGCTGGACCCCCTTTTCGGTCGACCCGCTCACCCTCCCAGAACTGCAGCCACCCCCTCGCTTGTGGTGGCCCAGCTCCGGGCAGGCCGCCGACGGCCGGGCGAGGCGCTCAGGCCAGGGCCCTGGCGTAGACGCGCGCGAGGTACGCCCCGGTCGGCACGGCGGCCTCCGCGTAGAGGCACGCGAGGTACGCCTTCGCGACGTCCCGCGCGGCCTCTGCGCCACGGCCCTCCTGGCGCGCCGCCGCGCGGGCCCGCCTGGTGGAGCAGGGGCCGACCGCCCCGGCACTCCTGCAGGCCCGGAGGACCCAAAAAACGACGAGCGGTCAACAGGTACCCATGCCCACAGGGGGGACGGAACGAGCCATGGGCGCGCGCTGTCGGAGGGGGGTCCCCGCTCGAACGGGGGCCTCCCCAGGGGTCCGACAACCCGCACCCATACCCATAGCCAGCCCTTCCCTGTGGGTATCGGTGTGGGTGTTGTGTGCTGTTCGCTCGTCAAAAAAATGTTCGAAGGACCAGAAAAGGTTCTTAGGGCATAAGCCCGATGTGTCAACACAAGACAGTCCCAACCAGAAATGTTCTACAGCCGAACATATGATCAAGAGACCTATAGCTTAAGAAACCTGGCCCAGCTTTCTGCAAGTTTCGTAAGACGAACCTGGGCCAGGTGTTCGTGCTAACGCTGGAGGGGACGAGCGCGCTCAAGAGACCGGGCCAACTTTCGGACACGTTCGTTGAAAAACGCTGGCCCGGCTGTCTGGCAGGAGGCGTCGGCTCTTAGAACATTCCTGGGTGGGCCTAAGAGGCGAGCCAGGACGCTTCGCCACTGCCTGGCCTTGGCCTCGAGGCCGCTGGGGCGACCGCCGGCGCCGGCACGCCGTCGCCGGCCAGGGGCACGGCCAGCTCGCTGGCTTCGACGCGCTGGCGGAGGTGCTTCCCGAGGACGAAGACGAGGACCGCGAGGAGCGAGGAGCCTGCGAACTCGAGGGCCACCTGAGCGACGGAGCGCCATCGACCATTCGGAAACCCCACAATGCTAATACCGCTACTCCCTGGGCCTCTCCTGGGGTGCGTTCTGGCTAGAAGTTCGACGAGAATCCAGCCGTGTCGACAAGGGCTCTCCAGAACGAGCAGCGGCATCGGCATGTTCAGCCGGGCTGCTGAAATAAGGAACGCTAGCGACTTGAAGAAAGAACGAGCCCCCTGGTTCGACTTGACAAGAGCCTGGGTGCCCGAGGAGGGCTAGAGGAACAACTACGGAATGACCTACGGAACATCGAGCCCCTTCTGAACCCAAAGCGGTCTTGAGTTCAGCATCTCGACTGCAAATATACCCTTGGGCCGCCAGCGCGGCATGCCGCGTAGAGAAGAGGGCGCTCACGCGCGATCTCGCGCGAGAAGCTTGTGCGCGAACCGTCCGCGCGAACCTTGGGAAACCCAAAGGTGCCGATACCGCCACTCGCTCGAGATTTCGAGGAGGGTTTTCCAGAACGAGCAGCGGCATTGGTACAGTGTCCTTTCCTCCTCGGAGGCCCGGTTTGAGAAGAAGACCACGTAAATATAAACTTTCGCCGCTGCGCCAGGATTTCTTGAATCTGCGCTGGACCCCCCTCCTCGGCGCGCGGAACGCGCCAAGGGCGGCGCCGGGGGCCCTGCCAGGGGGGGCCCAGCGCGGATCCAAGAAACCTGCGCGGAGCGCCAAAAGTGTATGTGTATGGCGCTTTTGCTTCTTTAGCGGCCTGCCAGATGGAGTCCGAGCAGATGGGTTCGGAGGATCGCGCCGCATCGCCGATGCATCGGCGATGCATCGTCAATGCATCAGCGATGCGGCGGCGACACATCGCCGCCGTCGGCGTGGAGAGAACCGGGCTCCGCATCAACCGCATCGGCGATGCATCGCCGATGCGGCGCATACCTCCGACCCCATATACTCCGACCCCATCTGGGAGGCCTAGATTATTCGAGGCTTCTCTAGGAGAACAAACAGTGACATAAACATAAAACTCTGAGGAGGTCCGTGCGTATTTCTCGGATCGGCGCCGGAGGCGCCGCCAGGGGGCCCCAGCGCCGATCCGAGAAATCTGCGCGGACCTCCGAGTTTGTATGTTTATATCATTATTCGTTCCTCTATGCTCGAGCGTTGGCAGAACTAGGTTTAGTGGGACCTGGTTTAGTGATGTGTACTGGGGGACGCCCCCCCGCCCAAATGAACTAACCGGAACTGCCGCCACCCGAAAAAAACACCAGCTACGGATGACCTGGTTTTGTGATTCCGGCCAATCTAGGGGCTCCGGGGCCCTACCACAAACTGGGTCCCCTCACCTGGGGTCCTGGCTATACCCCTCGGGCCACAAAATGGCCGTGAAGTTCCAGGGCGCCAAGCGTTTGCGCCTGCGCCCTCTGGCCTCCGCGCGATCCTGTCGAATGCGCTCCAGCTGGAGGCGCCAGAGGCGCCGCCAGAGGGCCCCAGCGCCGATCCGAGAAATCCTCGCGGACCTCCGAGTTTTTGTATGTTTGTGCCATGCTTCGCTCCTCTGTTCTCGGGCGTTGGCAGAACTGGGTTCAGTGGGACCTCCGAGTTTTCATGTTTCTGTTTACGCCATTCTTCGCTCCTCTGCTCGAGGTTTCTCGCGCCGCCCTCCTAAAACAGGGCTAGGATCGGGATAAATCGCTCCAGAGCGTTCCAGAGCGCTCTCGGAGCGTTCCGGGACGCTCTGGAGCGGCCGCGGCGCCCAGTACATCCTCCAAACCCGGCGACTCTCCGAGATTTCGAGTTTTACCCCGATCCGGTTTTGTCCCGATCTTCGCGTCGTTTTACCTCTGCTCGAGGTTTCTCGCTCAGGGTTTCTCACGCCTCGTTCCTCTATTCCCGCCCTCCTCTTGGGCCGCCCTCCTCTTGGGCGCCGCCCAAGAGGAGGAGGAGGAGGAGGAGGAGGAGGAGGAGGAGGAGGAGGAGGAGGAGGAGGAGGAGGAGGAGGAGGAAGGAGGAGGAGGAGGAGGAGGAGGAGGAGGAGGAGGAGGAGGAGGAGGAGGGGGAGGAGAGAGGAGGAGGAGGAGGAGGAGGAGGAGGAGGAGGAGGGAGGAGGAGGAGGAGGTTTCTCGCGCCGCCCTCCTCCTGGGCGCCCACCGTGCCGGCTCCCGGGCGCGAGAGGCCCAGCGCCGACCGGCCGTGGCGAGCCACGGCGCCGCGCAGGCGGAGCGGGCGGGGGCGGTCGGCGGCGGCGGCGGCGGGGGCGGCGGACGGCGGAGGCTGCTGGTCGGCGGCGAGCGAGGGGGGGAACGGAGGGGGAGGAGGAGGAGGAGGAGGGGAGGAGGAGGAGGAGGAGGAGAGAGGAGGAGGAGGAGGAGGAGGAGGAGGAGGGGAGGAGGAGGAGGAGGAGAGAGGAGGAGGAGGAGGAGGAGGAGGAGGAGGAGAGGAGGAGGAGAAGGAGGAGGAGGAGGAGGAGGAGGAGGAGCGAGGAGGAGGAGGAGGAAGAGGAGGAGGGGGAGGAGGAGGAGGAGGGAGGAGGAGCGAGGTTGCTTTTCGGCGACGGGCGAGCCTTCTCAGAAGCCCTCTGGCTTTCTGAGAGGCTTTCTCTGTCTTCGCGGAGGGCTTCGAAAACTTCTCGGAAGGCCGTGGGAATTCCGCACCTTCTGAGACGGCCTGCATTTCCTCACTTCCCGCCCGGGGCTCGCCGCCGAGCTTTAGGACGAAGCCACGACGGGGATGAGAATCGGGTGAGGATGCATCGAAGATCTCTGAGATCTGGCGGCTCCCGAAGAGGTGTCGGGCACCGCGGCCTTCGCAGAGCGCTCCAGAACGCTCTGAGAGCGCTCTGGAACTCTCTGGAACGGATTTCTCCTCGTCCTGGCCCCGTCCGATGCTTCGCCACGGCGACGGCGGCCGCCAGCGCCGGGGCGCGCCGGACGCCCATGAGCTCGAGCGCCCGCTGCAGGCGCGAGGCGCTGGCTGGCTCGTAGCCGTACGTGACCTGCTGGCGGCAGTGGCCGTCGACGCAGCCCACCTCCGAGCGCATCGCCTTCTGCATCGCCTCGCTGAGCAGTTTGTTAGGGTGGAGGGCTCAGGGTGAAATCCATATGGGCTTTTGCACCTCGAAAATCAATCCGTCTTGTGATTCACCCTTTGCAAATTCAAGCCTCGAAAATACATCGAAACGGCATTTCAGATTTCAACCTTTGCCCTCCACCCAAAGAAATTGCTCAGGCCTTGTCCTGGTACACGCCGCTCTCCACCCGGTGCACCTCCCTGTGCACATGGCCGTCGCTGCCGAGGCCCCAGGAGACGCTGCTGGAGGACGAGGATCGCGCGAAGGCCAGGCCGCGGAGGTTTGAGAAGCTCCAGGAGCTGGTCTGCACGGTCTGCACGGGGGAAACCACAAGATGCCGACGCCGCTGCTCCCCGGACCTCTCCCACAGGGGGCGGCCGGACCAACACTCCGAAGCGAATCCGGCGGTGGCGACGAGGGCCGTCCAGGAGGCCCGAGCAAGTGGAAACGAGGCGGCAAGGGCAGCGGTATCTGCACCCTGTGCTCCCCGGATGCATCGGCTGCCCGCTGGCCAGGGGGGCCAGGGCGATCACCGCAGCGCCGAGGCCACGCATGGCTCCCCGAGGCGGCTCGGCGCGGCTGCGGGCCCCTCCGGGCGGCTGCTCTGCCCGCTGGTCGGAGCTGGACCTGGGCCTGGGGCCAGGAGCACTGCGGGAGGGCAGGGATCCGCCGCAAGGGGTTCACGGCATGCTACTCAAAGGCAGATCTGTGGTTTTTCTTCGGACGTTTGCGAGTAGGAACTGTGCGAGCAGTGGAACGCTTGGCGGCGCGCACAAGGGGGTGGAGGGCTTCTTAGAAGGAGGCAACTTCTTAGAAGGCGCCGGCCTTGCATCCGTGGATGAGGCCCGCGCCTTCTAAGAAGCGGGTGTGCTTCTAAGAAGCCCTCCCCACTCCCCCCTCCCCCCCCCTCTGCGCGTGGCTCCGCGCCCGCCAGCTCGCCGCCCGCCTGCAGCGGGAGGTCGGTCGGACGCGACACTACAGTCAGGTCGGGCATGTCCCCCTGTACAGACGAAGAATAAAAAATACTCGAATAATGCCCCAAAATTGCCCTCTAACGAACGATGTCCCAAAACTACCCAAAATGCCCCACAATTGCCCAAAATAATGCCCCAAATGGTTCGTCGAATGATGCCCCAAAATTGACGAACAATAATAGAAACGCCCTCTGCGCGTGGCCGAGCACTCTCAGGGGGCAGCTCCCGGGAGGTCTCCGTGAGAACGGCCGTGGGCTCTGGAGCCCGGCCACTGCTGCGAAGCCCACGCAAGGGGCCACAGAGCCGGATCAGCCCAGAGGAATCCCACGAAGAATCAAGCCGGATGAAACGGGCTGAATTGGCTGCGAGCGAGGGGGGGAAGTGAGAAGGAGAAGGCCTTCTCAGAGGGCGGCGGGAATTCTCAGAAGCCCCCGCGCCTTCTGAGAAATCTTCTGTGCCTTCGGGGAAGGCTTCGAAAACTTCTCAGAAGGCCGGAAGACTTCCGAGCCTTCTGAGAAGACCTTCTCCTTCTCACTTCCCCCACTCGCTCGCCGCCGAATGAACCAGGGGTAAGCGGGACTCAGCTGGGTTCTGCCAGCTTCTCCCAACGCACCTACTAGCCATATTGCTACGGCGACGGCTCCGCACGCTTGGCGCCGCGAGGGCGCGGCGGAGGAGCGCCGAGGCGCCTGCGAAAGCGCACGCGCGTGCAGCGCGGTGAAGCACTGCTCATCGCACCGGCCTTGCAGACGTGCTGCAGCGGATCTATGCGTGGAGTTCTGCGTGGATCTTTGCCCGAAGCGGCGAGCGAAAAGCGAAGTGCATCTCGCGTGGGTTCTTTTTGGTCTCCTTCCCTGGCCCAAAAAAACGCACTATATACACTTCGAGAGCCAGAGCGAAATTCTCCAGGACAATCCGGGTCCATCTCATCGTTTTCCGAGCGAATTCCGCTCTGCGATGGTGGCGCCATGACACGGCATGGTAGGAAGGACGGCGGCAGCATCACTGCTAAAGGTACGTGTGTCCCGGAAGTCGCCCCATGCCTGCATCTGCTGGCGATGATGCTTCATCGAACCTTCCGGGAGCTGCATCCTAGACTTACGCCGGGCATGTCCCTCTACAGGAGGAATATTCAAAAATGGTCAAAAAGTAGTCTGGGGACGATTGTTTAACTATTTGTTGACAAATTCTGAATATTGTTTGAATGTTTTCAAATTGTCTTCCAAAATCTGCCTGTAGGGGCACATGCCCGACCTAATCCTAGACCCTCCACCCAGAGGCGCACGGTCGGGCAGTGCGGGCCCAACGTTTGGGGCGGCGGGCCCGAACGGAGAGTGTGGCCCTCAGCGCGCAGCGAGGGCCACCAGAAGCGCGGACGGACTGGACGGCCACCCGCAGCTGTGCAGAACAGATAGAACTAGGTCGGGCATGTCCCCCTACAGGCGGATTTTAGAAGAAAAAAAGAAAAGTCAATAAATACTCCTGAAATGTCAAGAACTATGTTTACAAAAGCAAAAAAAAACAAACTATGTTTTCACTATTTTTGATTACTTCTCCTGTAGAGGGACAGGCCCGACTTAAAGAGAAAACAACAGAAACAGAAACTGCAGATGTGTGAAGTCCCGACGGAGCTATGGAAACGTCGTGTATGTCCCGATCTCGGCGGCTGGCACACCTCCGCACCCACGGAATCTGGGTCGGTCCACACCGAGCCCAGGACATCTGCTCGGATCGGGACGTGCGTCGGATGGGGCTGCATCGGCACGAAGCCAGAAACGAGTCGACTCGGCCGCGCCGGGATACAGCAAGTTCGTGTCGTGCCGACCCCAGCGTTGGTTTTTGACACCGCAGGGATCGTTCAACCTTGAACGATCGGCCGCTGCCGCAACGTCCGATCGTTCAACATCGATCGATTCTGGGTCGCCGGCGGCGTTCAACCTTGAACGTCCGCGCTGGGGTCGCCGCTGGTCGACACGACGCAAGCCTACCGTACATAACAACAGCGCCCACGAGAGCAATGGGCCGCATCGCATCGACGGAGTGTCGGAATCGAATCGCACCGAGCCGGCCAGAGCCGATATATAACATCGGGGCGATCGGATCGAGACGCGCCCAGAGAAGCTCTGATGAGTAGCTCCGCTGCGCTTCTTCAGCACGCTGCTCCAGGGGGGGCACCGCCACATCCGAGGCCGAATACCCCGAGTAGCCCACCGAGTAGAGTGAGCGGCTCGAAGAAGGAACACTTACTTTTCAAAAGGGGCTCGGTCGCTCTTCAGGCTCGCATGCGTGATGTATCGTTCCTCATGAGTTATGTATTACTATTATCACTCCTTATGCGTAATGAATTGGAAAAGAGGCTTCGTTCCTTGTTGATCGTTCCTGAGGACAGGCCGACGACTGTACCCCGAGTACCCCGAGGCAGCCACGCCCGACGCGGGGAAGCGATCGAGGAAGGGGAGGGAGGACGAGAACGCTGTCATCATGCGACTGGCGCAAGATAGGCTCCAGGAATGCCGGAGCATCTGTTGGCCCTCGTCTCTAAAGCCCGTGTAGAACATGAGGATATCTGGGAAACCTGGGAGATGTAGGAACGTGTCAGTATCATGCCCTCTTGCTCCTCTGAGTAGTGCTCACAAGCGGCTGTCGGTGTACCCTCCTCCTCATCCCCCCCCCTCCTCCTCCTGCTCCTTCTCATCCTCCTCCTCCTTCTCCTCCTCCTCTTCCTCCTCCCCCCCTCCTCCTCCTCCTCCTCCTCCTCCTCCTCCTCCTCCTCCTCCTCCTCCTCCTCCTCCTCCTTTTTCCTCCTTTTTCCTCCTAGCATCATCAACATAATCAGCAACAACATCATCACCACCAGCATCATCATCATCATCATCACCAACACCATCACCACCATCAGCATCATCACCACCATCAGCATCATCATCCCCATCACCATCACCATCATCATCATCATCATCATCATCATCATCATCATCATCAGCAGCAGCAGCAGCAGCAGCATCAGCATCAGCATCATTATCATAAGCATCAGCATCAGCATCAGCATCAGCATCAGCATCAGCATCAGCATCAGCATCAGCGTCAGCATCAGCAGCATCAGCATCAGCATCAGCATCAGCATCAGCATCAGCATCAGCATCAGCATCAGCATCATCAGCATCAGCATCATCATCATCATCATCATCATCATCATCATCATCATCATCATCATCATCATCATCATCATCATCATCATCATCATCGACGTCCTCCCCCGCCCCTGCGCGGCGACAGGCCTGGGCTGAAAGCTGCCCGAAAGGGGCCCGGGGCAAGTATGAAATAAGTTTCGGCCGGCCGCCCCTCCAGCGTTCCAGTGCTGCGCTTTCTCTTTTGGGCTTCGTAGGTCACTTGAGCACGCAGACCCCTGAGGGCTGGGCGGGGGCGGGGGGGTACCTCTTTCGTCAGCGGCGAGGCGGCGAACTCGGCTCCAGCGAGAAGCCAGATAGGGGCACGAACTAGCGAATTGGCCGGCGGGCAAAAAGGGAAAGGGGGACGGCTGAGAGGAAGAAGGGGCGCTCAGACGCCGAGGGGCGGGGGGGGTACAGTCAACCCGTAGAATTGGCAAGGGTGCGCGGTAGGGACACGAGGGCCTCGGAAGGCCACGTCGACACCCCGCGAGCGGGGCGCGGCCGGCGAAAGCGGCCGAGGCTGGGCCGAAAGGGAAGGATGCGAGGGCAACCCTAGAAAACTGCTCAACCCTCCTACTCCAAATCCCTTCTTCATCGACCCCCTCCCTAAAAAACCGGACCCCCCTCCAAAGGCGACCTAATATTCCGGGCCCCCCTCTTCGACGGGGCACCTTCATAAACCGGACCCCCTAAGCTCCAAGCCACAGAAAGCGCCCTAATAAACCGGACCCCCCCAGTGACAAAAAAGGCGGCGTAAAGGCGGCGTAAAGACTGCGGGTCGGCTGCAAGGCAAGACCAGGCCGCGGCCAGACAGGCCGCCCTGGGCAGCTCTGGCCCGCGCGCCTGCCTCGGAGGAGGCGCGGCCGCCCGCCCCCGAGGCCGAAACCTCCGCGCCTGTTGCAGGGGGAGGCTCCTGCGCTGAGGTCGGCCATGTCCCCCTACAGACTGAGTTGGGGCGAAAAATTAAGAATATTCAAAACATACGCCCAAATGCTTCAACATACTACAAAAATCGTCCCCAGACTATTGTTGGACTATTCTTGAATGTTCCCCCTGTAGAGGGACATGCCCGACTTAATCCTACGGGATGCGGGGGCGGGCGGGGGGGGGGGGCGTCGGCAGCTGCCGACCCGGGTCGGGCGTTCTGGACGTTATGGCCCAGCACAGCGTGCGAGCAGAGGAAAAGGGGAACGTGGAGGAGCAGGACGAGGGGAAGGGGGAGGAGGAGGAGGAGGAGAGGAGGAGGAGGAGGAGGAGGAGGAGGAGGAGGAGAGCAGGAGGAGCAGGAGGATGGAGGAGGAGGGAGGAGGAGGAGGAGGAGGAGGAGGAGGAGGAGGAGGAGGAGGAGGGGGCGGAGGAGGAGGAGGAGGAGGAGGAGGAGGAGGAGGAGGCAATCGAGTGCCGAGCCCGGGTGCCCCCAGCCGACGCCGGATAAGCACCCTCGATCCGCCGCCCCCTCCGAACGGAGGGCGGAGAGTCGGGGGCGGGGGGCGCACATCTTTGCTG